TTAGACATTATGAAAAACAGAAGGCTCTTTTCCCCTTTCCTTTTTCTTTTCTTTCCAAACAGATTCACAAGTATGAAAAAAAGTCACAGAGAAATCCAGCAGATTGTACAACGTTTATTCAAAACAAGGGGGGATGTGTAGGCAGAATTAGATCTAGGATTTAGAAGCCATAAGCTTATAAGAATTTTTTTGAACTTAAAAAACAAACAAATACCACAGCTTTCCAGGTAAAACCCCCTTTTCTAAACAAATTATAGAAAACGTGTGACCATGTTGCTAACTGGTTGGCCTTAACTCGCACAAGCCTTTCCTTTCCTATGCACTGAGTTTTCGTTGCTTAACATGACCTTGTATCCTCTTTACTTCTTATCTATATGGAGTGGTTACATCTGATTGTTTAATGAAGGTCTATTTTCCATTAAAAAATAAAATTAAGAAGACCAGTTACCCAGAATCAAAGAGATAACTGGCCCTTTTCATGATAGTCTGCCTTTTCAATGTCCTGAGACAGTCTCTTTAGTATGAATTTGCCACCAGAGGTTTGTGTCAGTCAGAGGAACTTTCTTGGCCACTTGCTCTCTAGAAGGGCAGGAAGAGTCCTGTTGAGGTTACATAGGAGACGGGGGCCTGGAGATTGTACTCAGGTGAGACTGGATTTCAGAACTCACTGCTGCTGGACACCAAGAAGTAAATATCAGCTGTTCCTGGCTCCACAAAATTCTGGACTTTATGTAGATCCTCAAAACTATTCCTTCGGAGTTCTTCTAGGCCCTTCCTCATTACTCTAGGAGGTGGCTGAGTCACTCCATTAAAAGTTTTGCCCCTTATTGCTCTGACAACCAATAAACACATTAAAAACAAAACGAAAAACAACAAAAAAAGTTATGCCCTATCTATTAATATCATTTCAAAAGTGCCACTCAATGTTCTGGATATTGCAGCAGACAAAAGTGGGTGTGTCTTCTTGGGTAAGAATGAAAGTAAGGGCCCTGTGAGTTAAAGTGTATACTTAGGGTGAGTGGAGCCAGCCCTGCTCTTTGCTGCCAACGAGAAGGAAAGTTAGTACAACCTGTACTAACTACCTGTACTAACTTTGACAACATGCACTAATAACCTTATTATTCTTTGGATTTAGAGACTCAGCAATTTCACTTCTAGGACTTTAAGAAAGTAGTCAGAAATATGTAATATTTATGACAAAACATGTTCTTTGAAGTATTAGGTATAATAACAAAATTTGAAATAAGTATTGAATAATAAAGAATGCATTCAAATGATAATATACTAAGAAACCTTTAAAAATCATGTCATAGAATATTTAACCAAAGACGGAAATGCTTACAATATATCGGGAAGTGAAAGATGCAGGTCACAAAATATTGTATTAATTTAATCGTAATAATGCATATAATATATATATATTTATACACATATATTAGGTGATTAGAGAAAAGATTGGAAAGATGTATTCTAAAACATTCATAGTCCCTATTTCTAGGTGGCTGTGGTACTGATATTCATTTTTTTTCATTGAAGTATTTTTTCCAGTGAACTTGTACTAATTTAATAACCAGAAAACGTACAATAAATTATACAAGAGTCATTAAGAAAACCATGTGCCAAATGGCTTATTTGGTCCCTCTTTAAATTATGCATGTGAACTCATAGAACTACTTTCCAGAATCTTTGCAAGGAACTCATTTCCATTAAATGCTTTATTTCACTGCTACTCACTACCACAATAAATTTGATGTAATTTGGCAATGGTAGACATGTGTATCTGTGGCAAAAATCATTCATTTATCCATGCATCCATCTTACTATCTATCCAGTGTTTATCAAATTTCAACTACGTTCTAGGTCCTGTGTCAGGAGCTGGTTTCTCTGTGGTGAATAACTCAGCAAGATCCATGCTGTTAAGGATAGAGGAGAAAACCAGACAATTAACAAAATGATCACCTGTTATAGTTATGGCTATAAAGTGAGAGAAAATGGTGGGGGGGTATCTTACACAACTTGCTCAGAGGAGGTATCTTTGATGAAGTTTCTTTTATGATGAGCTAAGGAGAAGAAGTTGTCATTATGGAGAGTCAGGCAGTGAGGATAGCAAATGCAAAGGACCCATCAAGTTTTATTAACTGTCAGAGGCCAGAGGGAAAGTAGAGTGAAAAGGAAGGAAAGGGGCTCTAGATGAGCTAGGGGAGGTACGTAAGGCCTTGAAGGCCATAGTAAGGAGTTTAGATTCTATTCTAAGAACAGATGGAGTATCTTTCCAAAAACACACAGTCAAGCTTTGGCAGTGCCAGGACCAGAACCCAAGTCTTCTGACTTGTGATGTGCTCAACATGATGCCATGCTGTCAGCAGCAGTGATGAGAGTCTTGGCTGAGCTGTGCAGGTTCAATGAGATTTCAGAGCCAGAGGAAGCAATTTCAGGTTAAATGAGGGAGATAGAATGACTGCAAGTGTTTTTCTTGTCTATCCTAGAGAGTGCATACAGGAAGATTACGTGCTTACTTCTAGATCAGATTAGACCAACTGAAAGAACAAGAGACCAGAGATCAGAAAACTTAGGTTCTAGAGCTCTCTTTGCTATCATTTGGGCCAAATTTTTTTTTTATCACATTCTCTCACAGCTAATATTTGTGTGCATGTGTGTGTATGTGCAGATCCATGTCATCTATATCTATGTATCTCTCACTGTACACATACATGTTTATATTTATATTTACGTCTAGCCACTGCACTATTTAATTCATAGGATTATTGTGGAGGAAAATTTGAAATAGTAGCTATTAAAACTGACATTTTGTAAATGTTAGACTATTTTTGATATCCTGATGTTCTGCTAATTTTTATGATGGTTTTTTAAAGAAAAAAAAATCTCTAGTGAGATAATAAGGGAGAAATACGAAAAGAAATATGAGCTAAAGCTTATAAAGAAGCCTAAGCTAAGAAAAAGTAGTTTTAACTCTTTTAGAACAAGAAGAACATGATTAGGGAAGACAGTGCACTGCTACAGGCAAGAGAAAAAAGGGGGAAGTGACTTAGTTCATTTTACTCTTAGCCCATTTCTAGGATTTGCAAAAATCCTAGAAAGGGCAGAAGAAGGCTTGTTAGGAGGGTGAAAGCGTGAGACCAGCCAAGGTTCTATAGGAAGTTGGTCACTCCTTTGCTCGGGTTCAAGTCAGTTTCCCAGCTTTTGCTCATTCGACTGAGGATCCACTGCTGGTAATGATCATGAGAGAGAGGTGGGCATACAAGAGAGAGAGGTGATGAGCAAATATTCTTTCATTTGCCTAAAAAGGTAAAAAGGGGGAAAATTTAGACAACTAAGCTTGTGTTATTGCTGACAATATTCCAGAATGAATTATTAATCAGATGGTTTGTGGGCCTTCAGAAATGGAAGTAGCTATCTGGGGACCGATTCTCAAGGAATGCGATGATGTGGTAAACCAACTTCATTTCCTTTCTGATGGATTTTTAAAAGTGATTTATGACAGAAAGAGGGAGAGCTTCTTGAACTGTTCCAAATATCCCCTCTACCTACAGTAGCAAAAGAAAGGTTCAAGCTGCAAAGCTCAAAATGGCCTGACACAAGCATCAAGCTGCTTTCAAGTCAGGTGTTCCATTTGAAAAGTCCATGTCAATTTTCCATTCTCTTCCATCGTATTTCCATATTTATCTAAATATTACGTTACACTTTAAAAGTTAAATTACTTCGATTTTTCTTTTTGAATCTTTGAGTACAACTGACACTCTGGAAGCAAATGCTGTATTTACCTTGTGGCTTTATCTATCCCCTGGATGATGGCTCAGCTAAATGGATTTGTAGCTACATTATAGGCTCCAGATTCAAAACGTATTTGAGTAATGGGTCCACATCAGTGAGATGACATGTAACAAAAATGAACATAAATTTCCACATTCACATTTAACAATAATACCACCAGCACCACTACCACCAAAAATTATAACAAGAGCTGCCTTTATCTGACTCTTAATGTGTGCCAGATTCTGTGCAAATCATTTGTAGGCTTCATTTTGCTCCATTCCTTCAATACCTCTATATAATAGGCACTCAATGACTGGTAACTCCATTTTATAAACATGCAAATCAAAACATAGAGAGTCGTGTCTTCGCAATGTCATATAGATAGTAAGCATCTGCTCAGGGATTCAAGTCTAGTTGGTCTGCTTTCAAGCCTAACCTCTGCATACTAATGCTTCTCAGAAAATCAGTTGAACAAATACAGCATGGCAAAATCCTCAGGTAATTGCAGCTCTGAGACTATGAGTTTACTACCATCTTATTTTGAGCATGGGGGCCACAAAATCAACATGATGTTAAATGCCATAAGAGGGAGGGCTCAGAATAAGGGAGACCATAGCCCCAGTGGTCAGCCCAAACCAAGTGCATTTGGTTCTGGGCCTCATGATGTTAAAATACGGACAATTTATAGTAGGTCTGGAGGAGTAGGTCTGGGTATGGAAGTCATGTCTTGGGTGGATAAGAAGCTGGGAATGTGTTAGCATTAAGAAAAAAATCTTTAAGTAGTTGTGGTAGTTATCTTAATCATTCTCTTTATCAAATTGTGGGAGCAACCATTTTTACACTGATTTGAAAAAAAAAATGCTCTAGTTCAACATGATTTAGCTTCTCGAGCAGTGACCTTTTGCCCTTTCCACTAGTCTTCCTGGTCTTCCCATGGAACCTTTCATCTTCATGGCCAATGTTCAATTTAGCCTCTCAAAACCTGAGAGTACTACTCTAGGAGACAGAACATCTGGGTTCTAATCTTGGAACTGCCATACTTCTGCATTTGTGCAAATCCCCTGATCTCTTTAGGTTATGTTGTTGTCGTTGTTGTTTTTTATTTTATTTTATTTTATTTTATTTCTTTAAAAATGTTAGGTTGGTTTTTATTTATATGGCAAATCGGGTGAATTACAACAACTGTGCACCAGGCTCTTCACCTCTACCTACTTTACTGGCTTGAATGAAAGCATATGTATGAAATTGCTGAAAAGCATAAAATATCATGCATTATTATTACTAATAATCTTTGAGTTAGTTATAACAATGCCTAAAGCCAAGATTATTATTGAATAAATATCACACCTGTTGGGGACAATACCCAGCAATATCCATGCACTCATCTCTTCTAGACTGTAGATTTTTTAGACTTTCTGTAATGCTGTTTTTCATTTTAAATGCAGTCTGGCTTCTCTCCTTAAAGGAAGAGGACTTTTAAAGAGAGTGGCTGGTAGTATAACTGGCACATATATCGAATCTCCTTAGTCTGGGCTGTTAAGTAAGTTTAATTAATTTACTAAGTTAATGTTCCACTGCTAGCAACAGAGCCTCATTGCCATCAGCTGGGGAGAGGGAATTGAAAGCCTAAATGAGCTCATTTTTTCACAGTTGGAATTAGGGACCAGTTAGCCAGTTGTGTGGGTTTTCCAATTTCTCCATCTGCCCTAGGGGGATTCAGGCAATTCACTCCCCCAACACTAAGTGTGAGTAAGAACAGGGAGAGGGAAGGGGAAAAGGAAAAAAGAAAAAATCCTCTCCCCAACATTTGCTTCCATTTTTGGAACTGGAAGTATTGTTTGCACATTGCTTAAGTCGGTGTCAGAGAAGCTTTTGCTAATGTTCTTAACGGATTTGGAAAAGAGAAAGGCCTCGGCGAAAGATATTTACCATGAGCATTTTCATTGCAGGGTGTGTGGATAAAGAGAAAACAAATAAACAATAAAAGAATGGAAACAAAATTACAGAAATTTGCAAAATTTGACAAATGGTGGCCTGTAGTTGCCACAAGCTAATGGCTTGCAATGATTAATAAGAGTAAAAATAATTGCATTTCATTAAGATTGATGACACCCCATTTAACCTCCCCTCTCGTTTCAGCCCTAAAGTGGAAAGAGATGAAGTTCTCATCTATAATAGCTCCTGTAACATTACCATGGAAACTGAGGCAAAGATGGAGTGTGAGACGCCTAATCAGCCAATTACCGCCAAGATTACTGAGATACGAAAAAGCCGGGGCCAGAACACTCAGGTATAATCAAATCTTTTTTACAGACTGATTCAAACAGCTCAAATTAAATTTGTAATATTGTGTACATTAAAAAAACAATTTAGTCCAAATGGCAGCGATATATAATATTAAATGCTCTCAAACTTTGAGGAGCTGGTCTAATGCACACCATCTGAATTCATAGCTAACTATAGTTAATCATATATTTTCTCAAAAATAAATGAGTGCTGCCTGGGCTCTTTTAAAGCAAATTCTAAATAGATAATCTCAGCATTTTGTCTTGCTTTCTGCATGCATGTTTTAAAGGGGCTTTCTGTGGTTTATTTCTTCATGAAATAAATGGCCTACAATCTAACCAAGCCCCTTTGGAAGGTTTCCAAATTACTCCACCGTCCTCAGTTGGTGGGAAGGCAGTATCTGCTGGTCCATCCAGTTCATCTCTGTTCTGCAGAAAACAGACTGGAAACCGGCTTTTGAGGAAATTACATGAAAATTAGAACTGAAAAGGACTGTAGGGTCATTTGGTCTATAGCCTCTCTACCTCAATTCCTCTGTTTTAAATTATCTAAAACACCTCCTTCAAGTAGCTCTCCTAAGCCATGTTCTTACAAGTCCCCAGTGAGAGATTCCACAGCCTCCTCAGGGATTTTTGTGAATTGAAATCAGAGGCTAAGGGCTCTTCGGAAATATATCAGATAATCTTTTACAACTCCCCACGCTTCTCACAGTACACATATAAAAAAATATTTCTTAAGCACCTACTCCCTTAGGTGTCTTTCCTTTTATGAAAGCAATTCTCATATTTTTCTCTTTTCATTTCTTTTATGTGGAACAAACATTTATTGAGTGCCGATTACGTGCCACACGCTATACCAGATTCTCTTGTGAAAGCTACTTCCTTTAAACCTTTCGAATTCCAAGCTATACTTGCTATCTGAGGGACTTCAGGCAAGTTACTTAACCCCTCTGCATTTCAATGTTCTCATCTGTAAAGAATAGTACCCACCTTAATGGGGTTGATATGAAGATTTTAACACATGAGCCACTGAGGACTACGCATCACACAGTTTAAATGCCCAATGTTAGTCTTTACTGGCAGTGCTAGTTTGCTAGTAGCAGTATTAGAAAATGCTACAGAATTATTTCTCTGTAGCGCTATTTTGATTGTTTTACTTCTTAGATTTTATTTATTTTTTCGTTATCTCAAAGACTAATTTTGGATTTTTTTGAGGCTTGAATGCTTTAGACATCTTTAAATATTTATGCAGCATGTATTTACTGGGTTCCAACTGTGTTCAAGGTCCTCTGCCATGCTCTGGAGATAAAAAATAATGTGGAAAGAAATCCCATCTTCAGGATCTCTTAGTAGAGGAGGCCATGAAATGCAAGTAGGTAAGCTTCAAAGAAGGACACGTGGAGTCTTTCATTGCATTTGGATGGAAAGTTGGATATCATCTAGACCAGCTCCTTCGTTTGAGAGATGAGTTACCCGAGGTCCATAAAGAAAGGCGACCTGAAAAGATCACACAGCTAGTAATTTGGCATCCTAATCCATTTGGCCATAAGTCATTGTGGGGCAAGTAAGCCATTTTTAGAAACCAGAGGCACATGTCTGTCAAAACCTACTAGGCTAGTGCCAGTGTCTAGGAGACACCAGTACTGGGATGTCTCGTTACCCTATTGATATTGGGATGTCTAGTTTCCCTGCTTTGGCCCATGGACATGTGACCTGTGTTAGGATACAAAGTTGCCTAATCTAGGCCTGAGCCTAGGGAAAGCCAGCACTAATGATTACTTAATTGAAACTAAAATCCAGGTTTCCAGCTCCAAGTATTATGTGAGAACCTTGGAACACTAGTTCCATAGAATGTTAGTAAATATTCTATGACAAAAAAGTTCCACAGTCAAATACATTTGCAAATGCCGGGTTAAACAAAGTCCTCTCTATATTTTTTACCAAAGACTTTTGAGAGCATTCAATATGTAAATGCATAATGTGAATTTCTAAGAGGAGCCTACTATGTAGAGATCACCCAAACTTGTTTGTCCATGGTACCCTTTATTCTCAGAATCTGTCTTGGGGCTAGCATCTTTCTTGCTGCCCTCACTTTGGGAAATGTTGCCCTTGCCATGCTCTTTCCCCCTTTCTTGGAGTGGGAGATCAGAGGTGGGAAAGGTTATCTTCAGATGGGGTAGTCGACCAAGTTCTATTGAAGTAGGTGGTTGTATCATGCCATGAAGAATGGACAGAGTTCAGGCATTTGGGGGTGCAGAGGAAGTAGATTTCTGGTGGAGGAGCCAATATGCATAGGATGCTCAGGCAAGAGCTTTAGGAATAGTGCAAAGAACATGGTGTGTGTGAAGGGGACTAGTGAGTTGTAGGTTTGGGAAAGTAGTCTGGGTTTGGGTTGTGATGGCAGGTTAAGCATTTGGTCCTTTAATTCATTAGGTGACAAGTCATCTTCCAGGAGTCACTGCATGACCACAGGTGTGCTTTAGCCACATTGATCTGGTACTTGGGTGGGAATGCCTTAGGAAACCCAAGTGAGACAGGATCATCTCAACGAGGCAAGAGATAATTGAGCTGGAGAAGTGGCAGAGGGAACGGAGAGGAAAGGATACATGCCATAGTCAATACCTGACAACTTGTGATCGACAAAATATTAAAAAATATGGAAAATTAGATGGAGTAAGAAAATTATGTGCTGACTTTACAAAATGATCTCTTCAAATTTATGAAAAAAATAGATCTCCATGCTCATGACTACTAAATTGTAACCTCCAACCCAGAGCCCTCTCCTGAGCTTTAACTTCTTGAACCTTATAGCCCACTGATATTGTCACTTGGATATTGAAATGACACCTCTAATCTAACAGATTCCAAATTGAACTCCTGATCTCCACTACTTATCCTGCCATGCCCACCATAGTTCTTAACTGAGGTGATGGCAGCCGTATCTTTTCAATTGCTCAGGCCATGGAAACACCCTTGATCTTCCAAATCCCACACCAGATCATCAGGAAATTCTGTCAGCTGTGCCTTTAATGTGACCACTTTGTAGCAAGTCCTCTGCTACTGCCACCACCATCACCTTTTACTGATTACTACAAGACTCGCTCCATCAGAATCCCTTCTTCCACCCTTGCCCCTCTTCAGTCTATTTGAATGGAACCCAATGATCCTTTCAAAATATTTCAGATAATTTCGCTCTTCCCAAAAACTGTCCAATGGCTCCCAAATTCTCCCGCAATAAAAGCCAAGTCCCTAAAGGGCCGTTCTCTGTACCACTTCACCTCTTCCAATTCCCCTCTCACTCTATCGCCTTTACCTGTTCTGTTCCAGGCCCATGGGCTCCTTGCTATTCCTGGAACATTCCAGACTTGCTCTCACACTGAAACCTTTGCATTCGTTGTTCTTTCTGCTTAGAATGCTCTTTCTCCTCCTTTTCCAAGTAACTCTCTGCGTTAAGTGTTTGTTGAACATTACTTTCTTGATGATGTCTACCCTTACCACCCTATTTAAAATTGCATCCCATTGCCGTTCACTCCATAGAGCATACTTGCAATTTCCCTTACTCTGCTCTATTATTCCATAGTCATTAGTACTTATACTATATAAGGTCCCAATATACTATATAAGGTCCTAATTTATTATGTTTATGGCTTAGTGTCTGACTTTTCTTGATAAAATATCATCTCCAAGAAGGCAGAAATGTTTGCCTGCTTTGTTCACTGGTGTATCCCAAGTGCCTAGAACAGAGCCTGAATCAACTATATTAATGGACAACAATACACAAACAAATAAAAGCAGTTAAAACAAGCCTTCTCACATATTGCTTCTCCTATCCCATCACCTGGAAATTATATCTGAAAGCATACACACACACACACACACACACACACACACACACACACACTCACACTCAGGTGTACACACATCCATTTGCATGCAAAGATGTTGAGTTATTTATATTGTTCTTCAACTTGTGTTAAAAAAACAAAACATAATGGCACTAGAGGATATAAGCTCCTTATAAAGAGAAATACTGCTGTTTCCCAATGCTTAGAACTATGTCTAGTACATAACTGACCTTAATTAAAAACATTGAATGGATGCAGTGGATTTATAAACGAATAAATATATTATGGTCATCTTTTCATTGAAGGCATGCCCATTTTTCTTTTCTTCAGAAGATATTGATTATACCTCTATGTATCAGACATTGTGATACATTGAAACAAGAAAAAATATATTACAAAAAGAAAAAGAAAATCTAAACGAGTGCTAAAAAAACAGAACAAGGTGCCAAGGTGTCCCCCAGAGAGATTTCTGGAGGATAAATAGATTGGGGTGGATGGGTAGAGAAACCACAATGGAATAAACACAACACAAAGCAAGTTTAGAGAAAACTGATATAAACAGTACAGTTATACTTTTCAATGGAATTTTGGGAAAAAGTCCAAGCTTAAGAGTCAGATAAGGCAGATAGTAGGGTAATTAACAAAGGATTGCTTGGGGAACTGCTAGAACAGTATTTCCCCTTCTCTTCTCTCTCCATTTTGTCCCCGCCTCTGACACAGTGGTTGAATCTGTGGCTCTCAAGATGCAGTCTTAAGACCAGCTCATAAAACAAAGAAGGATTATTTGCTTAGGGACTGCAGATGGATTTGGTCCATTGTGGATGTTAGGGCTGATGTTAAGCTCAGCCAAACCTAAGGTGACTCTGGACCCCAGACAGATTCAGGTAAGAAAGAAAGGACAGGGAAAGCAGCATTCTACTCATTTCTACCTCCAAGGAATTCCTTTCCTTACACTCTACCCATCAAGGCATATTACCCAGCAGTTTCAGTTGTGACAACTTGAAAAGGTTTCTCTGAACATCTCATCTGCTATTATCAGTGGGAAAAGAAGTCTGAAGCAATGCAAGTTACTTGGAAAATGATTTAAAACCTAGAATCCTATACCCAGTCTAATATTATTTGGAATAAGAACAAAATAAAGACATATAAAGCATTATACA